CTAGCGGGCTTCGGGCTAAACGGTCCAGGCCGGGCTGTCTATAAAAGGCCCTAACCCTGTTTATCTCCGGCTCGGGCCTAACACCATTTAACATCTCTAGGCACAATATAATATCTTAAGATGCATCATAATTAAATCACAGATAATACATAATTTAAGTCAGCCAGCAATATTATAACTGCAAAATTAGGACAAAAACAGAGTCATGATCTCACTTTACCAAAGAAAAACAAAAGTAACTATGTTTGTTGGAAAACTAAAATCAAATCTCATGAAGGCCAAAGATCATAACTTTCTTGTAAAAGAATGAGAAGGAACTACAGTGAAAAAATAAATAAAAAAAAAGGACCAACCCGAAAATCTTTGGTGATGACATCGTCGAAACTATACGGCGAAGTAATGTTGTCGAAATTTAGAATAGGAGCTGAGGAGGCTAAAGCCCCTATAGCCACATGAGGATACTTCAATCTGAACCATGCAGCCAACACTGCACAAGCAAGGGTACAATCGAGTTGAAGTGCAATTTCGACTTTTCACAAAACGCTAAATCATTCAAAACATACAACTTTTTTCTACTTACTTCCGCCATAAGAACCTCCGAAGACTACAACAGGACAATTTTCGGCTGTCAGATTCTTCTTAAGATCGAGAATCAAAGTCGCGTAATCCGCAAGCGCCTGAGTCACGCTCAAGTAACCGAGCGTCTTGGAATTCGAATACGCTCTCTTATGACTCCCCCCGTAAGGCATTGACTCCCCGTAATACCTATGCTGAAGCACGGTTCGTATGTAGAACTATTAACATTTCATCCACATAAATACTAAAAAATGCGAAAAAAAAAAAAAGAAAAGAAAGAAAGATAGAAATTACCTCGATGAAAACTAGCATTGCTTTGAAAGTGGGTGCAATTTCGAACATGAAGCCGGTGTTTTGTGCGAACCATTCGATTCCTCCCTCATTTCCTGTGTAGACAAATATCGGGAAATTTCCTTTGGGGCCACCCCAGAAAGTGTCGTTGATTAAGTACCTCTGTTGGAATGTTGAGTAGCTGTTTGGATTGAAGTTGAAGTGATCAAGAATTTGTGTGTAGAACTTCTCTTCATATAGCCTAACAAAAGCTTTTGAATTAAGAGAGGATTGTGCTTGCTCTCGCTGAATGAACGAAAAAGGGAAGCCAATTGGTTTGGTCTTTTTTGTGTTGATAGCATGTGTTGAGAATGATTTAGGATAAATTGAACCAGACAATATAAGCACTAACATTAGCCAAATTGCCATGTTTCACAAGTTGGCCAAAAGGTTGTATAAATTAAATTGAATGAATTTTGTCCGTTTTTTATAGGAAAGATTCACAAGTTGATAAAAGAACTATATAGCCAAGATATGGTGAGATGGTTTTTATTACAACTAATCTCTATGATTTCTATAATAGAAAATATGTCCACTATATAGAAGATTACAAAGATTTTTTTTACATTCTAAAAATTCTGGTCTATCTAATTTTAACTTTTCAAAACTATAAAAAAATCTAAAGCATTCATTTGATTTTTATTTTTAAGTTGACAAACATAATGTGAATTCATTGCCTAAAGATTTTTTTAGATTCTAAAACTTTTGGTCTATCTAATTTTAACTTTTCAAAACTATAAAAAAATCTAAAGCATTCATTTGTCATTTTTTTCAAGTTGACAAACATAATGTGAATTCACTGACTAAAGATTTTTTAGATTCTAAAAATTTTGGTCTATCTAATTTTAACTTTTCAAAATTATTAAAAACTCTAAAGCATTCATTTGACATTGAAAGTCTGGAGATATTCGTTTTGGTTTATCTAATTTTAACTTTTCAAAACTATTATAATTTTTTAAGCAATCATTTGACATTTAAAGTCTGGAGATACTCGTTTCTAAAGTTGAAAAAAATATTAGATATTAAATTTATTTATTATTAATTTTTATTTAAATTTTTTTAAATTTACTAAGATTGAAAGACGAAATACATTTACAAAATCCTACCCTAAATTTCATCTATATACTTAATATTTCTAAATATTTTAGTCAAAAAGGAAAGATTCTAAGAAATGTCAAATTTTAAGTTGCCATTAGAAGTCTTAGAGAATGTACATGTACTTAGAGCATTTGTAATGTGACACCATTTATAGAGAAAAAATATTTTCGATCTCATAATATTAGACATTGTGGTTATATTTACTACTCTAGTTAGGATTTTCTTGAGCTATGCTATGATAGTACTGACATGACAAGAATATCGCTGAGCTCACAAAACAAAACAAAAAAAAAACAACAATTATACGAACAAAAAAAAATGATATAGAAAATCAACTCAAAAACCAAAGAAAAGAAATAAAAATTCAATATTTCAACAAATTAAACTACTTTCATATTTATTTGGTTATTTTCATAATTCACATAATTAGAAATTTAAATTTTTTTAACAAATATTAAGGTGGCACATTGTTAATTGCGCAAAAATTTAGACGCATGATACCATCTTTTTTATATATACATAAGACATTCTCCAGATAATTTACCTTTTATTTCATACTACATTATTATTTCAAACACGTGAGTTGGAAACAAACAATCTATATTCTAGTTGTGATTCAAGTTAATAAATAACAAACCTATTTATCTTCATGAGAGCGTACTAGCTTATCTAGTAGAAAAGATTAAAGTCATAATTGCTCTGATTCTAGTTAGCAAAGAACAAACCTATGGTGAGATGGTTTATTACAACTAATCTCTATGATTTCTATAATAGAAAATATGTCCACTATATAGAAGATTAAAAGATTTTTTTCAATTCTAAAATTTCTGGTCTATCTATTTTTAACTTTTCAAAACTATAAAAAAATCTAAAGCATTCATTAGATATTCTTTTCAAGTTGACAAACATAATGTGAATTTATTGACTAAAGATTTTTTAGATTCTAAAAATTTTGGTCTATCTAATTTGAACTTTTCAAAACTATTAAAAAATCTGAAGCATTCATTTGACATTTAAAAGGGTAATACTATTTACCGCCCCCTTTTACTAGTCATCGCCTCTCTTGGACGATTTTGCCCTTTTCATTTTTTCCAAACATCTCAGAGTAAAGTATACGGTGAAATGTCGTCAAATTCCGAGGTACGAAATTTTTTGTGTCCGATGGTGAAACCGGACGGCTTTTAGCCCGTCCGACCGCCGGAACCGGACGGGCTAAAAGCCATCTGAAAGTTCGGCCGGTCGGACGGGCTATGTCCGAACCGGCCGGCCGGACGCGTTAAAACCTGTCCAGCGGCGACGGCCGGTCGAAACCGGTCCGTCCGGTTCGGTCGGCCGGACAATTTTTTTTTTTTTTTTTAAATTATTATGTTATATATTCGAAATAATTATGTAATAAATTGGACTTGATTATTATGTTATAAATTATTATGTTACATTTTAGACTTGATTATGCTACAAATTGAACGTTAGATATTATCATGTTAGGAGTTACAAATTATTATGTTATATGTTAGAGTTGATTATGCTATAAATTGGACGTCAGATATTATCGTGTTACGAGTTAGAAATTATTATATTACATGTTAGTCTTGGTTATGTTATAAATTGGACGTTAGATATTATCGTGTTAGGAGTTACAAATTATTATGTTACATGTTATAGTTGATTATGTTATAAATTGGACGTTAGATATTATCGTGTTAGGAGTTACAAATTATTGTGTTACATGTTAGACTTCATTATGCTATAAATTGGACGTTAGATAATATCATGTTATGAGTTACAAATTATTATGTTACATGTTAGAATTAATTATCTTTTACATTAGAATGAATATATTTTAATTTAACATGTTCTAAAAGTATAAATATTGTACTATATAGCAGGAGTCATGGGAAGATTTTGAAAGAGATGGTGTTGATTACAGTCTCAGTTTCGATACTCGTACATCATTTTATAGAGTTGAGGACGCTATTGAAGCTGCAAAATACCAGGCAATACTGAATGGTTTCCTATTAGTAATTTTGAGCCACAAAAAGAAAACGGTCAGACTTTTGAAGTGCCATAGAGGCGAACGCTATAGAGTCAAAGACGGAAATTCCAGAAAGATAAAAACGAATAAGTGCAGCTGCGATTTTGAGATCAAAGTAAAAAAGGTGCCCGGCGAGCCATACTGGAGGATCTGTAGATGTAGTAAGGAAGAGAAGGCTACCATAACCATACATTTGTTGTGTATTCTGAGGGTCATTGCCAGTTGAGCGGCCTCAGCGCTTCATCTAAGAAAATTGTTCGTGATATGACAGAAGCTCAGGTGGCTCCGGCAAAACTTATGGCCGCACTGAAGGAAAAGATCCGGGAGACAAAAGTTCATGTGCGAGAGGTATATATATTTATATCTTGTAATATATGTTTTAATTAACTTTTTGAAGTTAATTATGATAATTAGTAATTTTTTATATGTAAAAGTTATTGTAATAATTAATAAATTTTATTATATTTACTAATGTATTATTATTATGATAGTTAATAATTTTTTTTATCAAATTAATTAATTAATATACTTTTTTATTTATTAATATATAAATTTTTTTGTTTTAAATTATGATAATCATTATAATTAACGATAATCGGTGACAGGTATATAACTTTAGAGATAAGCTGCAGAAAGAGAGTTTCGACGGTAGAGACGTTCCTTCCCAACTTATGCATTTGGCCGTGAGTAGCGAGTATACAGTTTATGCAGAATTCGATCCGAACACGAAAGCGTTGACGCATATATTCATGGCCCATCCTGCGTCGATCAATCTATTCCGGACATATCACTGGTATGTCGGCATAGATTCCACGTATAAAACCAACAGGTATGTTACTTTATAAATACTTTATTAGTACGAATCTTAAATAGTGTGTTTGATTAAGTTAACTTTTATTTGATTATATTTTTTGTCTTCTTGGTCTCATTTCAAAAGGTACAAGATGTCGTTGGTCGGGATGATTGGGATGACGCCATGCAACCAGAACTTTCTAATTGCGTATGCGCTCATCAGGGACGAGAAAGAGGCCAGTTACGACTGGGTTCTACAAAAATTGAGACTACTGATAGGTCAAGACGTATATCCTAATATGGTTTTCAGTGACAGAGAGTTGAGTTTAATCACTCTATTCAGAGGCATTTTCCCGAATCAGCCCACTTACTCTGCACGTGGCATATCAACAAGGATGTGGAAGACAAAGCCTACAAACTCTTTGGGAAGAGTAAAAAATTCTCGCAGATTTTCACGCACAGTACGTGGAAACGTATTGCGGAGGCCAGTACGTTGGATGACTACACCGATACCGTTGCCGAGCTGCACGCAAAATATTCGAAGTCTCCACAGGTGATACATTATGTGGAGAACACATGGTTAGAGCACAAGGAGAAGTTTGTGAAGGCTTGAACCAACCGAGTGACGCATTTTGGAAACACAACTTCCTGTAGGGTGGAGAGTGCCCACTCTGTGTTGAAGGAGTGGCTTCACACGTCCACCAGCGCGCTTGATACAATTTGGCAGAAGATTAATAAGCAGATCGATCATCAAGTGACTGAAATCAAGTACGTACTGCAATTTTTAAATGCGTTATTATATTACTGCATTAATTTTAATCTAACGTTAGGTAATGTATTATCAGGACGACGCTTGAGGCCTCGAGATCTAAGAAGAATACATGGTATAAGGGAATTGTTTGTCCCATTTTTGTTACGTTTTTCGTGTCTGTTTTCTCGTTCTTTTTCCCCCATTTTGAGCCATTTTGTGGTTTTAAAGTCATTTTGTCGTTGATTTCGTGTTTTGAGTATTTCTGTGTTTTTCGTGTATTTTTCCGGTTTTCTTCGTTTTTCTTTCATTTGTGGTGTGTAGGTCGAAAGCTTCGGGAAGATCGAATTTTGGGAAAAAGTCAGTTGGGCAAGCGTAATTAGATAGAAGAGTTCGTTGGGAACACACAGGAAAAAACGGAACTCAATTCCGATACCAGACGAGCCCGAACGACTCCAAAATGTGAAGTAGTGCGAGCTGTCCAGGCCCCGCGCGCCCGCCGCGCCGCGGAGCGCCCATCCACCACGCCGCGAAGCACTGCCGCGCCGCGGAGCGCCCTTTCACCGCGCCGCGAAGCCCTGCCGCGCCGCGGAGCGCCCTTTCACCACGCCGCGCCCCTGCCACGACCCCGACTGCAGCTCCCAGCCTTCAGCGCGCCACGCCGCGACATCCACCACGCCGCGGCACAACATCCCACCACGCCGCGAAGCGCACTTCTCTCGCGCCGCGCCATCTTTCCACGTCGTGCCAACGTGCGACTATATATATTTAATCGGAAAAAATCTTTGGGACCACCTCTCGACCGGGTGAAAACCCTAGGTCCGAGAAAAACACCACGCTTCTT